TTCACTGACGAAGAAGCGTCAGTGAGTGACTGCAGCGTTCCGGATCCTACTACCCTGTTCGAGCTTCGGACGACGAAAACTCGAATTTGATGCAGAGTTCTTTTAGAAACTTGTTACAGAATATCCCTGCCTTCTAGAAGGGTCGTCGGGCAGCAAATACAGGAGGTGACTAAAAATGAAGCTGAAGAATGTCAGGTGATGTTCAAGAAATATTTGGCACCGCTGTCTGTAGAAATCCGTGGAATTTAAGCTGACAAACGCAAGACTACTTTTTTGCGCGAGAGCTCATCTCTACCGAGAGAATCAACTCTGTCAAATAAACAGAAGAACGAACTGGTATGGAGCACTTGTGGCTGACTGAAAATGTGCAGCGCAGCATGAAACGGTGTTTGCTGATAAAATCAAGAAAAGGTTGGAATGCGAGTGAGAGGATAGAAAGATAAAGAAGCGTCTGCGATGTCATTGCTGGGGTACAGAAATTAAAGTAACAATGAGCACGTGACTTTGTAAGAAACCTCGACCATTCCTTAACCAGAGACATTAGCCTTGGTTGCAAGAGAATGAAAACAATCAGTAGGAAGATTTCCAGAAGAATGGCAGAATGAGCTTTAGAAGTTCGTTAACAACAATAGACAACAAAGCAGAAAAGTGGACATGGTAAACGCTCTGATGATGCAAATGGTTAAAAAGAAAAATTGCAACAAAGGAACACAACTCAACAACCGAGTCTCTTTGGCCAGTGAATTGTAGATATGGATGCAAAACACAAGCGCAAAGACATTGGCGGTTAAAACGCAACAAAGCCGAAAAAACAATGTGATATCTATCATAACTGAGGATTTATTAATTCGTTGACGCAGAATAAAAGTGTAAACAGTTCTAAAGTAGAGACATAACACGTGGCAGCAAGCAACAGGTTTTTCTGGGCGGTGAAATATACTGAATTAAAAGCTTAAGAACAATCGAAAGAAGATAGTTTATTTCGTATGAGCAAGCAATCATCGCAAAGATTAGAGGAAAGAAAACGGATGCTGTATGAATATGAATAGAATTATCACTAAACGTAGGACAAATAATCGAATGAAATTTCGAGGAAAACTCAAAATTGTTTTCTAAATGCCTAGTTTCATTGATAGGCATGGCAGTCGTTGGCAAATATTCGAAACAAATATGAAATCTGAATGCTGCACTATATACGAAGCTTATAATGCAGGTTAATTGGTTAATAAGTAACGACGACGGTAGTGCAGTTGCTGCTTTCCAGAAACCATTCGTGGAAATTTTTCGTATATCTGGTAGGTGGCGCGGGAATTTCTGTAACCTGTTCACAAAGTCGACACATGGACATCTCCAATGTTACAGTCTTCACAGCGTGCGTTTGCTTATAGCTAAAATAGGCCATATAGCGCGCAGTATTGTTGCCAAGTTCATAAAGAAAATCAGCGAGACTTTTGGCACTCGCGAAATCATCCACAGCTATAAAGCTGCCTTCAGGTAGCGCAGATTGGGCGACGGCCCGACTGAGGACAACAGGGACGATGTGTGTGCTAAGAGCGGTTGAGATTTTCTCCGTGACGTAGTCAGAACAAATTGCGTTTTCGAAAGCAAGGTAAAACAGGTAATCGTTCTTCAAAAAATCAGTGCAATTATTATTACCTCTTGGGCAGCGCAAAGGTCCACAGGAGCCGTATATATCCACTGGAATGTACTTCTGAAGAGCCTTTACGTATAACTCTCTTTTACTGCTAGTGTTGCAGTTGCTGACAAACCATGCAATGTGCTTCGTCTTACCTTTCACCAGGCGTTTCAGGTCTTCTTCGATCAGTTGAGGCACTTCCCCATTTTTTACCATCGCCACGTATGGAGCATATATGTCAGAGTTACGTAGGTGCGTCACTGTGAGGTTAAAAAAGTTATCGATCATGAAAGAGGTAGCGCTTGACAAATATGCAGGTGGTTCCCAGTTGGAAATGACGTACAACTGTGATGGACGCCTGCGATTCGGTAGGTCGGTCGCATTGAAGTCTCGTTCATGGAAAAACACCACGTGACTGCTATTCAGCAGTGTCCTGTTACTGGTCAGTCGACATGTAGCTTTTTTACAACGCAAAAAAGAGGAACCGAGTGTACTTTCCAACGAACTGCTGAAAACTGTCGTCCAGCCAAGAATTATCACAGGAGGCTGCTCCTCAAAATTGAGCATGACTGATCTGGAGAACGAGAACTTCAACTTCAGAAGAGGTACTTGTATGTAGACAAGGCGTAAAAACAAAAGCAAAACTGCGCATCTGCATAGGACTATGACTCGGAATCGCATTTTACTAACCCTTGTACAGTGGCCATAAAATTCTGGCAACCATCGCAACTGTTCTTATCGTGTTTTTCAATGTTGGATTGAATCTGTCAATATTGACTCGATGGAAAGAAGGATTGATTGCGTTGGTTTCGAACAGTTTGTGGCGGCCGCTGTACAAGGTTCGCAAGATGCAGGCTTGCCCCAAAGTCTTCTATACGACACTACTTTTCTTTTGCTTTCATTAAAGTCCGCATAATGAAGAAGAACCTTTCATTTTTCAATTGAACAGTCACCCATAATTCTTGGCTGAATGCCAGTTTTTAATAATTCTTTGGAAAAAGGAACCTGCGTGTCACAAAAGAGCCTGACAGCCGGTAGCGAGTTAAGAATGAGCACTGAACGTCATATCAGGGGTGGTGTACTATCACATTGCGACAGTCACTGCATCGACTTTCGCTGTTTGTTTTAGATGACTCGTCTAGATAACATTTCTTCAACTTTCGGGCTCTGTTCATTTACGTCGAACTGTTTAAATGCCTACGAGCCACAGCGACCGTTTGATTTTGCAACCTTTGACACCGAGATAGATTAAAGATTAAGTTCAGAAATCAAGTACGAAACTAGCTTCAGCATTACGTTACACGTTATGATAGAGTATCACAGACCAGAGCGAAACAGATATAATTTCTTTGTGCCGGGAGCGTTAAATGTACGATAGGCATTTATGAAAACTCAAACACTGAACGATTCTTCCATGACCAGAATTTATGACGCATTGCATTACCCATTTGCTCAGAGATGCCTACTGGAGGGAGTGGCATTTAAGCCGACCGCAGCTCCGTGGTATTTGAGCACCTGAAGTGCCAGACATACATTGCATCATTTTGTTCTCTAGAGCCAACTGGCGCTGATCATGTTCCAGATGCTGGTGGTCTTTATATGCTACCGAATAAAAATCAAAAATTGTCTGTATGTCCGAATACGCCAAATAAGAAATGGAGCCTCTTCCGTGAGGTAAGTCGGAGCAAAGTGTTGGCGTAATGCGTCACGAAATTTGAATGGAGGAGCCATTCACCACAGGACATTCACGAGTGTACGAATACCTTACAACGATTATTGATGAAATATTAAATAAAAGCGGATTTATTGTGTTATCTTCTCGTTTCTAAAAATTTAATTTCAACAAGAAATGACCTTTATAGAAAAATTCCTTATTAAGTAAACTGAGCAACTTTATTTCAGGCATAATTTAATCGTATGAATATTCTACCAACTTTGTGAGGTGGGAGAATTTAGCAACATAAAAGGCTTGGCAACGATGCCTTGGTGCCTGAGAATTATGCATGACATATCACTTGGCCGGCAGGTAATCAGCGTCCAATAGAGCGATAGTAACAAGTCCGCCGTTACTCATGATTTTCCGCCTTCTTCCTCCAAGCGCGGTGTTCTTGACTCGTTTTATAATCCTCCCACCGTCGTGTTGGGCGACCAAGCTGTCCAGTTTTCCATGAGGCATACCAGTCGATGGTCATCGCTGGCAACCTCCCGTCGGTAAGCCGAACTAGCATGACCAGCCTACCGCAGGTCCCTTACTTGTTTCTTCATTGGTGTCCTTCACTTGAGTCTGCTGTCTGGTCACCGTGTTGGGAATGTCTTTTAGACGTGAGATTTGCAACATACTTACCATGGTATATACTGGTATGCAACATACTCCCCATACTTACCTACGGTCATGAATCGTGGACCATCAGTGAAAAACTTCGAACCCGGGTACAAGCTG